TCGCCAAGGCCGTAGGCGCCGCGGTACGCAACACGCTTCTCTGCAATCAGCACCGAGTCCACCACAGCGACGCGCGAGCCCGGCGGAAATCGGTTCGCCACCACCACGCCGCCGCCGGAGCACGACTCAAGCCCGCTGATCAACACATCGACACGCTGTCCAGCAGTCGGGTCGGACCGCCACCCAACAACGTACAGGCTCGCTCCGCCCACAAACAGGCAGTTCGCCAGCGTCACGTTGCGCACGCTCCCCGACATCGACTCCACGTCCACCACGACGTCCGCCGCAAAGGTCACGCCAACGTAGCATGCCACCGACGTCCCGAGACCGGCGTTCACCTCCACATCCACACGCACGTCCCGCACGCACAAGTCGGCGCCGTCGGTGCCCGGTGGCTCGGGGACAGCAACGGGCAGGCACGCATCGCCGTAGCCGCCCTCAGCGCACGCGCAGGCGCAGCCTTCACTCGAGGCCGTCGTCGTGTACGCAGGGAAGCACGACGCCGCGAGAGTGCATGGGTCGCTGCAGGTCATAATGGTGGCATTGTACACAGAAGGGATGGCGTAGTTCGCTTCCTCCTCGCCGTTCACGGTGTTGCACGCGGCCACAATCGCTCCGTTCGTGAGATCGCGGGAACTTTTAGGTATCAGCAGCACTGTCGGCGAGACCGTGCTGGACACGAATTGGTTGCCGGACACAGACACCGTGGAGTCGCGGAGATTCACTTTGGGATAAAGAAAGGCAAACGCTTCCGATGGGGATTCACGGCAGAGGTTGCCGCTCAACTGCAGCCAGGAGTTGTAGTAGATGTTGGAGGAGTCGCTTGAATAAAACACAACCGAGCTTCGCTGCATCTCGTTGCCCTGAAACACAACCGCTGAATGAGACTCCACGTCTAAGGTCCAAATAAGTAACACGAAGCACTTCACCGGCCTCGTCACAGCGTTGCCTCGAATCACCACGGCAGAGTTGTTCAGTACACTCAGCGATGAGGAGTATCTAGGTCCTTCAAGATATATCAGCGTACCGTCACCGCCAGCCATGTGAAACGTGTTGCTCAGCACCGCAAACAGGGATTTCCATAAAACCCTCAGCGGAGATCCAACAACGTAAATGGCGCTTGACGATGTCGTCACGCTCTGAAACACATTGCCACTCAGCACCACCGCGGAGTCGTTGCTGATCACCAGTCCATTCATCACAACACACGACGGGCAGTCAAGTTCCAAGCCCGGCCGAGGGATCGGCCTCGTGACCGTGAAGCGGTTCACGCTGATCGTGATTTTCGTGTGCGGCTGAAACACGCCCTCCGGGCTGAGCAGCGCGTCACTAAATCTGTTTCCGGTGACGACTATGTTCAGCGCCCCAACAGCGGCGTACGCGTTGCCCAACAGCAAAAGCACGGCACCGTCCCTCCACGTGCATCCATCGAACGTGACATTCGCCACGTCGCCCGTCATCGCCCCAACCAGCACCGTCAGGCTCATGCCGCCCCCGCTGAACGTCACGTTACGGTAGCACAGCCACGACAGCCCGCCGCCCACTGCCTGCGCAACCTCGGGGTACACCATGTCGCTGATGCACTCACCAACCGGCGGCGGTGGCGGCGTGGGTGGTGGCCGCAGTGGCGGCGGTGGCGGGCCAGCAGGCACAGGCACCGGGACACACACATCGCCGTGCCCTCCAGCAGCGCAATGGCACTTGCAGTCAATGACAGCCGTCGTCAGCGGGGCGAAGCAGTCGCCCTCCTTCGTGCACTCCCCGCACGCAGCAACCGTCGTCACGTTGGTGATGCCGTTCAGCCCCAGTTCTGCCGCCGTCGTCACCTCCCGTCCCGCGACCGTCAGGCACCCAGCAACGAACCGGTAGCCGGCGTCAGCCTGCGATAGCAGAGGTACCGACAGCCCCGTCGATCCCATCTTGCAGCCCGTCAGCGTCACCACACTGCTGCCGTCGATGTTCATAGTAGTTATTAGGGAGTAATGAAACATCGCACCCACTCCCACGTCGTTGTCGCGCCAATCCAGCCAGCTTGAATAGTGGACGGTAAAAAAGCTTAGTGAATATATGGCATAGGACACGGGGCCGCTGTTCCCCACCACGCGCAGCACGCTGTGATCTGACACGCTCAATTCTTGTTGCTGACACAGCAGGCTTGTCCCGGAGGACATTGTATTGTTGAGCAGCGCAAAAACGCAGTGGTCACTCACACTGAGGATATTCACGTAAAACATATGCATGTACCCAGCGAAGCTGCAGTACTGCACATACAGCGAGCTGCCACGCTCCAGCGTCAGCGTCCCTGTCGAGTACAAACCAAGCGCACCGTACCTCAAGGAATGAGCCTTGATGTTGCTGACCAACAGCGAGGACGCACTAAACATGATGCTCACCAGTAAAAATACGCTCAGCATGTTGGTCCTAATGTGTGGCAGCTGGACCTCGGAGGACTGCACCGCGTCAACCTCCGTGACGGCAATGTCGCAGTGCTGCGGGAGGGCAAGTGCAAAAGCAACAACAGAGGACCGCATTACAGTCCGGCTCACGCGGATCAGGACGCCGGATGACTCGGCCGCAGAAGCACCACCAACAAACTGCAGCGCGGCACCCTCACGGAATGTGCACCTGGTGAGCGTGATGTTGATGGGGAGATGCAGCGGCATACTGTCGAGGAAAAACGTCAGCACTGCACCCACGCCGCTGAACGTCACACCCACGTAGCAGTGGTGTGTCTTCCACATGTCCAGCGCTAGGCTCGTCAGCGTCTGGTTCACCACGCAGCTCGTGTCGCCGTCCACGGCTCTCTCCGCCACGGGCGGCACAACCGTGTCGGGCACCTCGAAGGGAAGACACGACGCGCCATGCCATCCGTCCTTGCAGCTGCACGAGCACGAGCCGCGGTCCACCGACTCCGTCCCGGGCATGTAGCACGCCGCGTCGTCGTTGCATGTGCCACACCTGAACACCTCCACGCCCTCCGGAAACACATCGTCGTACGACACCTCCCCATCGCCCTGCAGGTTGCACCCAACCACAAACCGCGCGGGTAACTTCACGACAATGCTCGATGGGAGAAATTTGGCGAAGGAAACACTCGAGTCCACCCGACGGTTGTGTGCAAGCGCCACGGTGGTGCCGCTGCCCGACAGCTGAATTTTGTGCTGAAAATGAGGAATATTTAATACCGAGGCTGCACCCACGCTGTTGCCCTCCACACGCCACTGCGCACCTCCCTCGAGGGTCACCGAGCCAGACAAATACGACAGCGCAGAAGTCAAAACCTTCGTGCTGCCAATAAAGATGCAGTCCGCCACTCGCAGCAGCCCCGCGGTGCTCACGGTGGTATCCCCAAAAATATAAACACCATTAGCAGCACTCATCGTGGTGTTCTCAACGTCAAAGTAGCCGCCGTTCCTCACATCAATAGCATTAACGCAAACAGATGATTCCACACCCTGACCCTCCTCCGTTGTGATCAGCGTATTTCCCTTCACAATGATCCCGCCACCATCAA